ATATATATAGAGAGAGAGAGAGTGTCCTTTCTATCAGGTTTTGCATGGCATGAACAGCCCTTCTTAATGTTAGTCTTGCGCTAAAGATCCTTGACTGCAGCTTTGGTTCGAGCCTGAAAAAGCACACGAGGGGTTTGGAATATACAATGTTGTAGACGAGGATTAACTAATGGGATTCAAACAAGTAAGCTCTTGGTAAGGCTCCGGACGTGGATGCAGACCTAAAGCCCAAAATCTTGGACAACAGCAATAGATTCCGAGCAAAGTAGGAAGCTGGAGCAGAGGAAGTCTCCGACTAGAGTCCGAGGTGACGGTGACTGGCTAGATACGGATATTGTTAAAGCCCTCGCATCCATCCGCATATATGCGATTATGTTGCGGCTGTTCTTGTTGCTGTGCTGCCTTGTCTGCGCGTGCCTTTACGATTTTCCCACGGCTTCCTCTAGACTGCGGAGGCGAACACTCTCAACCCAAAGCCACGCACGGCTCACCAGATTGAGCCTGTGACTCTCAACTTCTACTCGGCTTGGAAAAACTTCAGCCCCAGCATTAGGACTTGTAGGCTTCATGCAGAGCCCAGGACCTATGCCTCTTGGAGGCACGCGGTCTACTTTGACCCGAATTTCGCTACCCTTGTTGCGAGCTGACAGAGACCCAATGAGCCCCATAATGTAGCCGAGCCCGGAAAATTGCAAGGGCTAAGCACGGTGTGGTATCTGCAGCTGCAATGTTAACCTGTGTTATCAGGGTGCCGGACTAGGTCTGAGTTGGTGCAGAGGTTGAGTTTTCGAGTTTCCTGGGTTCCGGCTTACTGCTACTGCTTTTGACGACAGCTTGGAGTTTGGGCTTCGCGTTTGAGTTCGGGATCTCAGGATTTAAGGGCTCCTTTAGGGCTGAAGTCCCGTTCCTGGCTGGAGGTGTGTTTAAAGTTTAGTTGCCGCGAATTGTACGAATGTTTGATGTGACGGTGCGCTTGTCATGGCAAGGATGGAAAGATGCCTTCACATCGGGATTCTGCTTGCTGTACGCATGGCATAGCTCCAACAGTGAGAATACTGCGACCTGGTTGAAGCCGCTCAAACCAATACCCTAACCCAAAGAGCCCAAGAAGCATATTCAGTATTTCAGGACCTGGGGAAGTGGCTACTCCTACGGCTGGGCCGGCGATGGAGGAACCTGCGCCTTTGACCAGCGTGCGGAAGTTTCAGGCAGGGAAGGGTTTTTGGTTCAGGCTTTAAAGGCTTTACAGAGGTTTATTGGTTTAGGTTAGTCCCTCGGCAAACACAAACAAGCATTTGGGGTTCAGGGTTTAGGGGTGGGGGTCCTGGGGCTGGGGTTTCAACTTCAAGAGCTTTGTATCTGCGTGCTGAGGAGTTTAGGGTTTAGGCCAAATAGGAGCCGGTGGCTGTGAATTTCGGTTGAAATGAGGAGCGCGGTGCAACCCCAATTCAGACTCCCTGAACCCTGTAATCCTTTGATCCTAGTGTCCTAAACCCTTAATTCACTTCAACCTTAAGCCCTAGGGCTCTAGAAGCTTGATGTTTCCGGCCATACATGTCTAAGAAGCTTCCAGACTTTCGAAGCTTCAAGGCACTAGCGATTCTCCAGCCTTGAAGCTTAAAGCCTTAACCTCCCTGAACCCCACACCCTGAACCAGGAAGCTTCGCTTTGAGCTGGTCGATGAACGGCAATGCGCACAAGGTAGAGGACCCTGTGTCAGGTCCTTTGACTTCTCACCCTTGGAGCGCTTTGGCTACTGTATAGGCTTGGGATCCGCCGTGACTCTTATAGCAGCTTGTAAATGTGCTAATTCCGATTGCTGGCCCTGCCGCCATCGCGGTCCATTCCGCGCATACACCAAATTACTTGGCTAGCGCGTGAGTCACGCATGTGTCTCACTTGCTGCATGTGAAACATCCTTTCACATGGCAATAGCTGAATCCGCACTAATTAGGGTGTACCTGTACACGCACGTGTGTATCGGTGTGCGCAAAGTACACTTAGGATGAACTGTGTGTTTATGTTTGTGCGCCCATGGCCATAAGTTGGTGTACACCCATACACATATATACGTGTGAGTCCACCAACGTCTGCATGCTTAACTGCATGCATAATGCATTGAATTAACAGTGAGGCGAACATCTGAGATTGTACTACAACTTCTGGCCGCCTTTGCTTGCTTAGCTAGACCACATCCAACTTGCCTATAAACATTCGCTATGTATATACCTGTTTACATACAAGTACACACATACGTTGTATCTATATATAGATATGCAAATGCATACACACGGACATGTACATGTACTTATGTACATATACATCTACATATTCTGTGCATATGCATATGTGTGTGTGTGTATATATATATATATATATTTATTTATTTATTTATGTATTTATTTATGTATATACATTTGTGCGTTTACATAAACATATACACACACACACTGTTGCGCGCAAATGTGCAGATAGATGAGGGACCTGGCTCAGGTCCATGTCCTTGCACAATATACGGTCGTGATGCCTCCTCCCATCTCCGGTCAGTGTTTCGGTGAACCGTCACAGCTGGCTGACCCAACATATATGTCGTAGGAAACGGGCGGTGTCCCTTCGATTTCATCAAGCTAACGCGCGCGTTCATTAGCACAACATCAGCCCCATCACAAAAGCCGCCGCTGTTAGCACCGGGATCATGTGTGTATATATATATATATATATTTTTTTTATGGGGCCCTAGAATTACATATATAGGTAACCGATCTAGTGATGTTCACCGGATGTTGCAGGGCCGCGCCAGCACAACCCATTTATTTTCTGTAATTTGGTTTCAAGTCAGAGGCAATCATCCACGCGGCACCTGAAAATCCGAAGCCCTCGAAGCCTAGCTGGCTTCTCCAGGACATCCCAGGCTTGCTCCAAGGGATTCAATACGATGTAAGCTTCAAGGCGCGTGGGTGGGACTTGTAGTCGGCCCCGGAGGGCTCAGGATGCACACTTGTCTCACCGCGTGTTTTGGGAAAAACACCAAAACTTGATGACACTTGTGGAGTTCCGGGTATTGTTGTGTCATCAATAATGCTTACGCGGATTTATTCCTTGGGGAGTTTCGGAAGTAAGTGCAAGTCGAGCGCAGGCGCTGGGAATGTGGATTTCCTGCAAGGCTTATATAGTTATAGCTCATTCGAAGCCTATTCGGTGCACTCTTTCAGCTACACGAACTGCGGCGCATACCTGGATCAAAGAACTCGGACGACTTGCCTGAGACTCGCGAACCCGGCATAAAGCTATGTGACTCTTATTGCCATTCAAATCACCAGGAGGCTTGTACATACTCCAGTGAATCATTGAGCTAGCCACACCTGCTGTGAATAATTATCCATGGCTTCTGCTACTACATAACAACTTCTTCTCTAGTAGCCCAGCAAATCCTGTTTAATCGTTCTGCAGGTTTTGTTCGTCTTGTGTAGGAAATATCAGGCATCGTAAAGCACTGCTCAGTACCACAACACTAACAGCAAGCGCGACCCCACACCCGCACAACCCCCCACCATGGGCCACAAACCTTATCTGGCTAAAGGTCAAGGCTACTGCCAGCGCGTCGGCCACCTTGAGCACTCACTGGAGCCTTGTCCTATAGGGGCAGGCAGCAGGGCTTAATTAGTGACTTACAGTTCAGGTCCCGTATCCAGGAATCTAGAACAGTGGCACCTCATTAGGGAACCTACGGCTCATGGCGCTGCTGCCCCTGGGGCTCATAACTATGCTTCTGCCTGCTCAAGCACGCTGACGACGACGATGACGACTGCTGCTACCGACCGTGCTGCCGCCACTGCTGTTCCTGAAGGCACCCTGGCACTGCGAAGTCTGCCTCAAGATCGAAATAGCTTTTATGAATCTTGCTCTGACCCTTTATCATAAAACAGCCATGTCACCCTGAAAAGAGTCAAGGAGCAGCAACAGCTGCGACGGCTCCGCGTGCCCCGCGGACGTCGCCTGCCCCTCAGGCCGGGTTCAGGATTTGGCTATGAGTAAGGCCTTCTTCCGTGGAAGGGTCTTCTCGGCCCCAAGTCCTGAACGCCATGAGTGCTGAGATCTTCGGGTTGCGGTTTCCAGGAATTGTGGATTCGAATTTGTGGGCTTGCCATAGTTTACGGCTTTGCGGGTCCGATATAGGGAGTAAGTCATGAATCAGTAGCACTATTGTTCGGGCTTCCTTAGTCTACGTAATTCCTCAATCTGCAATATTGCGGTGTAGGGCGGGTCCAATGCTCTCTCGAACGTGCTGTTGTGGGTTTGGTTTTGGGTGTAGGTTCATGGGGCTCAGGGTCTTGGATCTAGGGTTGTGGGTAAATGCGCTAGTCTGCATGGCTCTTGTATTTCCATAGGTTTCCGTGGAATGATTGGATGCTTCCCATGTGGGCCGTGGTCCATGGTTGGCAAATGTTGGGATACGAGGATTTCAGACGGATGCCTGACAGTTTGCAAACAGAAATGCAGCTGTGTTTTTGAGGCAGCTACTGGATCTTTTTGTCCGGGGTGACGCTTCATAAAATTTTACTCAGTAGGTTGTCTAGTGTTGATGGTTTTCTGTGCTTGGAGTTTTTCGATCGGTGGTATGACCTGCTTATGGATGTCCCAGAAGGCCTCGTCCACGCATTCGACGCATTACTAGATCCCCCAAACCCGTCAAACCTGAAGTGTTAAACTGAACTCGAAAGTCTTGACTAGACAGGCCATAAACCCGGCTTCGACGGCAGAGCTTAGTGACAATCGATGATAGCCACTTCTGCTTGTCTGCCTCGCGTTCAAGCTTTAGCGTGTATAGGTGTTGGTGAACACTGGGTCGACAGAATCTTAGTGCCACCGTGCCCACGTGTCTGTAACTTAAGGCTACAGGTTTCAGCTTCGAGAAGACAAACAGTGACGGCTGTACGCAGGATGACTTAAATCCTGAGCAACGCAAACTTCTTGGCATGCAATTCGTGCGGGGGTAATTCCCTGCAGCCGGTCATGTGAAGGACGATCGCTGGTCAAGTGCGAAGCAGGGACCGACGTCGTATCCGTCAAGACCCCTCTGGGAGTGCGACTTCAGCGGAATAAATTTGCTTCAGGGGTCGGGTCAGCGCCCAGGGAGGGTCTACCTTGTACTGCGGGGGCATTGGGGTATGTGAGGAGTTGATGCCCTGAATCGCTCGACTTCCAAACCCCAATTCCCTGCAACCCAACCTCTGACAACTAGGCTAAGGCCCCAGCCCCCCCAAAAAGCCACCGCTCAACATGCTGATGACGAGAAGAACGATGATGAAGAACATGATGAAGGCGATGTTGGTATCGTAGCAACGATGATGACGGGGCGATTTGGAAAATGCTGTTGTGCAGGGACCTTTTTCTGCAGGCCTTTTGCCGAACAAACCCCATCAAAACTTGCCCCAATCTTCAAAGTCATCGGCGCCACCAGCGTTTTCGGCTTCTCTCGTAGCCTTTTATTCTTTGCACGGCTTCACAGATTGAGTTCAGGTCTATATTTTTCCCAGCACACAATAAAGCCACTGCTCAACGCACTGATGTCGATGATGGTAGCGGTGATTGAGAAAACCATGAAGGTGATGATGACATCGACGTTGATGGCGATGGTGATAACGATGGTGAAACTATGATCATAGCACTGATGATAGCAATGAAGATGACATGGCGATTTGGAAAAGGTTTTTGCACAGGGACCTGTTTCTCCAGTCCTTGTTTCGCCCCACAAACCTCAACAGACTTGCGTCAAACTTCAAAATCATCGGCCCCACTGGCATTGCGCTTTCTCCCGTAACACTGACTTCGCTGCCCGGATTCACAGACTAAGTTCTAGGCTAAGGCTTGCGGCAACCTCCCCCCTACAAGACTTCAAAACCTAGTAGACGGTTTCGAGCATAAACTCCTGAACCCTACACTCCTACACCCTCACCGAAAAGCTCAGCCTCTTACGGTCAGAACCCGACTTCCCGAACTCTAAACCCGAACTCTCAGACACTTGACTGCTCGGAGTTGCCACTGCTTCGTATACGAGAGTTTAGACGATTCCAGGAGGGCTTAGGCTTAAGTGTGGGGTGCAGGGTTCAGTTGCTTGTTCGTTCTGATTTTGTTTGTTTCGTCCATGCTGGAATCGTCGGTTTCGCGTCGTGAAGTTCCCAAGTCCCAAGCCATGAACCTGCATCACTCCTAAGCACTTGCAGCGCAATGGTCCGGACTGTACCCGAAGCCGAAGCTGCGGCTTTGGGCATCGGCTATAGGGTCTGGTCATTTCTTGCCGATGATGTTCCTTGCATGCCGTCCCAAACCCTACACCCAAAGCTTAAAACACTGAGCCCTAATCTTAAGTCAAGAAATGTTACTCACACAAACTAAGACCTACACCCTGTATGTATAATGAGCCCCAGGCCCTAAACACTTACTTGTCCCGAAGATCCCGACATCCTCAGGCAAATTACGAGTACAGGGCGATGCCGGGCCTACGGTGCTTCCGGTATGGGTGCCGACGTTCGTGTTTGAGCCTCAAGCCTTGGGGTGGGTCTGATTGGCGGGTGTGGTTTCCTGGGAGTTGTGTAGACGGCTCATGATTCCAGGATTACGGTGTAGATTGATGTAGATGAGGCTGTTATTTTTGTGCGGCACATGCAGGATCACGGGATTAGCATAACTACCAACTGGCCGTCCCATAAGATCCGAACCCCCGAGTTGTATGTTTGAAGGGCGCAGCTGCGAGGATTCGCTTTGGACACGATTCCCCGGTTGTCGAGGCTCTGCACAACATGAGAGGAATGATCCTGACCCTCCAAGACTCAGGGCTTTAGTAGACTTAGCTTTTGGATTCAAAGGAAAATAAGACTTGGGACACCGTATAGGATCCCTGCTAAACAGAACCGTGTCTGTCAATCCTTTCGGGTTGTAGGTGTTACTGACAAATGATTCAGGCTCCTCTCTTAGGCATTTCACGAGGCCACAGGGGAGGTAGCAAGTGCCCAACCCTACCCGCCCTGTCTTTATACATGATGCTAGATGCCATTGTCAGCTGTTGCAACCTACAAATTTCAGTTTGCATGAGAGCAGCTTGTCCGTTGTGCTGGCACAATTCGATTCTTGTGTTGCGTGTTGCTGTCCTTTGCTTGAGCGAACCAGTCAGAAAGTCCGACAAGGCCATGAAGCCGAAAGCCGTAAAGCCTTCAAGATCATAGCATGCCTCGATCCTACGCCGTAGCTCTAAATCCAAGACCCGAACCATCACTGACTTTGGACTGCAAGGCCCTGACTTGTAGCCTATGCAGTCGCTAAAGTCCCGATCGCAAATGTTGTCCAGGTGGGCGTTGAGAAGTCAGGGCCTCATCTTGGCGATGAAACGGTTCAAAACCTAATTAATACCTAAACCCCCAACCTTCGAACCCTTAGTTCAATAAACTCTAAGACCATCAAGCCCCTAAGACCTGAATTTCAAGACCCCTAAACTCAATCCTAAGTCCAGAGCCCAGGGGTGCAGGGCAGTTGTCTTTTAAGGGTTTGGACTTCAGATGAGCTGCGCACTGCTGCTTGATGTACCCTTTTCGGCCCGGGAATTCCTGTACACCCTTTGTCCGACAGACCTCGCCAATTACACATCCGAAAACACAAAGATTCAGTTATCACAAAAAAAACCTATCTGCTTGTCGCCTATTGAAAAGCCAGGTTGGGTCCCCAAACCGGCCGAAATCGAGAAGGGGTCGGCTCTTTTGATTCATTCGTTTTGGCCCTGCGATTGGTCACCGTTGGTCCACCCCGTTCATATGATCAAGTCGAGTATCTTGATGTCTCAACTAGTTTATTTGCGGTTAAGTCGCCCCATCACTGACTAGACCCACAGCCACCGTCAATAGATTCAGCGATATTAACTGAGACCTTGCTTCATCGATCAGTATATTCTGCTATGATTGGTTTGAGGCCCAACCGGTTAGAGCATGAATCTATCGGTTTCACGATCATGACTGAAATTGGATTGGCAAGGACCTCAAACGGCTCATGTAGTCAAGTTAACTGCTCTGCGTGAGGATATAGGTTCAATGGTTGATGCCAGCCGTGGCGCATGTATTCCTGCTCATACTTGCTCTAGTCACACGGTGCTGTGTGCAGTCTCTTTGTTCCGAAAATGTGTCCCAGAGGAGCCGTTGAAAGCCTTGTCGTTGAAGGCTGTATCTTCCTGTCGTCGCCATCCGAGTTCTTGCTCAGACATGCGTCTGGGCCCTTATACTCTTGATACTCATAGTCCGGTTAGCGCCCACGTTCTGTAGGATTACATTGCAGCAGCAAGAGAAAAGGTAACGTCATGCCGTTGATAGTCATGCGACACTACTGTTTACAGAAGTTATAGCCGAAGAATCAAACTGTACAATTTGGAATCGAAATCGCTTCAGCCCAGTCTATTCCTCCAATCCGGCTCATTGTTTTTCCTGTACTTCCCCAAATAGCGGAACTGACAGTCACTTCGGTTTGGCTTGGACGCACCATATCTTACTTTAGCATAGCGAAGTTTTTAAGGCACAACCACAGTTTATAAAGCCGTGAGCATTGTTCGTTTACGTATTACACGCCCTAAGTCCCTTCGCCCTCAACCCCAAGCGCTGGAACCCTAAACTGCAGAATTCCTCTCAGGAGCAGAGCTGAAGGAGACGACTGGTCGGACTATGCCGGTTGCGGGGCCAGTGGCTATGTGGCGGCCGCACGGTGAAGAATTGGAGCACGGCTGCTGAAATTGGGTTTACGGGTTTAGTTCCATATTTTTAGAGTGTATGTGTGTATGTATGGACGTATGTTTGTGTGTGGTACGTACGTACTTACGTAGGTAGGTAGGTAGGTAGGTAGGTAGGCAGGCAGGCAGGCAGGCAGGCAGGCAGGCAGGCAGGCAGGCAGGGTAGGTACATACGTACGTACGTATGTATGATGCATGTAGGTATGTGCGCGTGTTTG